TGCCCATTATCACGTTGGTTTGTGAGTATACATCCTTTTTATTTAATAAATTACGTGTTATACCACGGTAATGCACGATGAGAGTGCGCCCTTGTTTGTTTTTATTCACGTGTGTGTGTGTTGAAATATATTGAATATGGCCAAAATTGTAGTATTTCAAATATATGTCAATATATTTGGGAAGAATATTCTTTATTTTTTTTTTTTTTTTTTTTTTTTTTTTTTTTTTAATATATTTCAAATATATTTTTCTTCCATGTGGCCATAAATATGAGAGAGCCATGCTAGCAGGGGAGTTGGGTGAAAGATGAATTGCTGAGAGGTGTTGCGGTGTAGCCTGGCAGGGAGTCCAAGAGGAGGAGGCTTCTGCTTCCAGGCTGGAAGCTGAGGAGAAGCTGAAAGAGGGAGCTCCACTGCCCTGCAGTCCACCAAGGAAGGACATCCTGAAAAGATTGGAGAGGAACCAGCCCAGCAGAAGGCCTGAAAGCAATTTTATCCACAGCTACAGGGCAAGGACAGTGTGAGTACCTCTACCTCCCCAGGGCCTAGAAGGGAGAGGTCTGCTGGATGTAAGTTCTGGAAAGTATTCAGGGGACACTTCATAGCTTACCCAATGCCTTGTCCCTAGATCAGATACCGTAGCCAGGTGGGCTGGTATTCTGTGCACTAAGGGGACCAAGAGCTTCTAAAGGGCACGTTGCTAAAAATCCACTCAGGGGACACCGAGCTCCTAGATGGGGTTTATTCTACTAAGGACTGTGATATTTCCAGCTGGAATGCAGTGAAGTGTTTGTTGTTTTTTTGTTCACACTGGACTAATTTATAACTCTTCCCCTATAGTGTTTGACAGGCGTTAGACGGGCATTTGGGAAGCATTTTTAACGCTCCCCAAATGCTCCCCAAACGCCCTAAGCGCATTTTGGAGGTGTTTGATTTGCGTTTTCCAAGCATTAAAACCGCATCACCTTGCAAATGCCTCGGAAAATGCCTCTCAAACGCCTGCCAGGCATTTGAGGAGTGTCACCATAGACTTGAATGGGAGGTGTTGAAAGGCTTCAACTCCTCCTGATTTGACATGAGGCGTCAATTTTGCCACAATGCGATACTAACGCTTCACTGTGAACAGCACTGTGTGCTGCCACGTCTATAATTTTCATAGGCGTTTGAGGAGCGTTAAAACGCCCCTTAAACGCCTGCAAAACGCCTGCCTACAAAGCTAGTGTGAAATTACCCTAAGTGTGCTAGAGCAGGAAACGTCCTCATTCTGCTTTTTTCGGTTTCAAATTGGGCCTCTGATAACCCTTTTACCCTATCCAAGTTGTTAACTTCTAATAAACCAACAAAAACCAAGCTCATGGACTGTTCACTGACTGTGGATGAAAGTGTGGAAAATGTTGCTTGGCAGTGCAGAGCTTAGGGGGACCCAAAAACTCAACGGCCCTCAAGAGGGTAGCGCTACATTTGTAACTCAGTACTGCTGGTCTACTTAACCATTTTTTGCTGCCACTTCATGTCTACATGCATGCACTCTAGAGAGAGCTGCACATTGTTACTCTGGACTGGCTTCCAAAGTAACATTGGTGAACCATTCGTGCACAATGTATGTCAGCATAGCTGCTTGCAGTCTGCACCTGGGACACATTGGACAGGACAACAAAGAACAATCAGGAGACGGCTGTCACCATATCACAAGAATTGCCTGAACGAAGACCTTTATGGCAGGATCACCAGGTATTATTTTAATGAAAGATGTAGATTTAAAAAGCTTGAAAACATCTTTTAAAGTTACAGCAATATTTTAAAGCCTGTTTGAGATTTTGCATAATGTTTTCATCATGAACCCATGCAAAGAGGTGATACTTTAACTGCTTTAACCACTAGCCTACAGGGCACTTATACCCCCTTCCTGCCCAGGCCAATTTCCAGCTTTCAGCGCTGTTGCACTTTGAATGACAATTGCGCGGTCATGCACCACTTTACCCATATGAAATTTTTATAATTTTTTTGAGACAGATAGAGCTTTCTTTTGATTGTATTTAATCACCTCTGGGTTTTTTATTTTTTCTTAAACAAACCAAAAACCACTGAAAATGTTGAAAAAAAACATATTTTTTCTTAGTTTCTGTTATATAATTTTGTAAATAAGTGATTTTTCTCCTTCATTGATGTGCACTAATGAGGCTGCAGTGATGGGCACTGATAGGCTGCACTGATGGACACTGATAGGGGGCATTGATGAGGAGGCACTGGTAGGTGGCACTGATGGGCATTGACAGGCATCACTGATGGGTACTGAAAGGCAGCACTCTGGCACTGTTAGGTGGCAGTGACTGGCACTGTCAGCGGCACTGATATGCAGCACTGACGGGCACTGATAGGCGGCACTGACTGGCACTGATAGGTGGCACTGATTGGCACCACTGATAGGTGGCACTGACTGGCACTGACCGGTGATCCGCTGTGTCCGAGGGACACAGCGCACCGCCGACTGGTGCTCTGCGCGCTCCCGGAGCCGCGCATGCACAGTGAGAATGGGAGGATGTCATATGACGTCCTCCCAGAACGAGAGAACCGCCTTGAGCCCGTCATTGTACTATATGGCGGGCGGGAGGCAGTTAAGGTAGGTTCACACTTATGCGGTGCGGTACATCGCATGTGATTCAAACAGGAACCGCACCGCATTCCTGTGCAAATCACATGCAAATTGTGTGCGGTGTGATTTGAGCCATACATTATGTATGGCTCACATCCCACCACACCCGCACCAAAAACGTGCAGGACCCTTTTTTGTGTCCGCACTAGTATCGGATCGCATGGGTGTTCACACCTATACGATACAATTCTGCACATCGCACCGCTTTTTGCGGACTGATTTCGGGGTGTTGTTAACATACACACCCACAGTGGTTCGCATGAACGGGGTGCGATTCTGATGCGGTGCGGAATTCGCACAGAGAATGCTGCAAATTCTGGACCGCATCAGTGTGAACCCAGGCTAAAAGTGGTTGTAAACCTTTACATATACTCATTGAATTGACTGGTCTCAGGTGATAGACAGAGATTAAATAATCCTTCTACATAAGTTGTACCTGTCTATCTGCAGTCTTCTCTGCATCCGTTCAAAGTATTGAATCAAGAGAGTTAAAAAAAAAGGGGGTGGAGAGCTGAAAAACACACACCACAGGAGACCTCTGAGAGCTGATTGGAGGGAAAAGACACACCCCCTCAATCGGCCGATCGGCCGATTTTCGCACCGTTAGTAGGTTAATTGGTCGGCCGTTTTTCAGGGTTTTGCCACATTTTTTAATCAGTAAAGTTGGAAAAAAAATTGGCCGATTTTCCCGGCAATGATGGGTAAATCGGCCGATCGTTTTACCGATAACAAATCTGCGCATGAGCCGTGACCTGCAAGAAGAAGAAAAAGAAGAAGAAAAAAAAGAATTCCAGTCCGCTACTATATTTTACATGAAAAGTATTGCGGTTGCAACAATGTATCTATTTGTATCCGAATAAAAACATCTGTATCCGAAATGGATACAAATGGATACATTGTTGCAACCGCAAGACTTTTTCATGTCAAATATAATAGCGGAGCTCTCTGCAGGGACAGAAGTAATTGAATGCCCGCCGTAGACGGGATGAAAATCGGCCGATTTTTTTTCACCATTGGTGGTAACATCGGCCTATTGAACGACCAATTTTTTGTTTGTTTTTTTTTTTTTTGTTTTTTTTTTAAATGGCAGGTTTTCGACCCGTCTATGGCCTGCATAAGGCTGTCACTCTGCTGGAGGTACCTCCCCTGTCACCATTTTTCTCTTGGTGTCAGGAAAACTTGTCAGAAGTGATTCATGCTGATAGCAGAGGAAGGAAGCCGTGGACAGAAATGCAACTTAGTGCTCTTAACTGAGACAAGAACACACTATAGAGGGATATGCTTTGTTTATAACTCATGACTGAGGTTTATAACCACTTTAAATGTACAGGTCTTCACCCTAATGTTTGTTTCCTATGCTTAGGTGGGCTCTGGTGCTAGGGTGGCCTTGTATGCTGTAGGCAGGAACACATCAAAAGATGGAATGTGAGTACAGCACAGCCTCAAATCAGAAGGTAGGCTTCAAATTTGATAAGAGCAAACATGATCATGTTTAGCCAGACAGAAAAGATGATGCTAGAGAGAGAATAAAATGTCAGAGTTTTGGAATATGACATGAAACACCCAGGAGAGGTACTAAGGGCTCATTTGAAAACCATCAGAATGACGCCACTTCAGTCATTTCTTTTTAATCATAGAATAATACACTGAGTCTATTTACATTGATGCCCACATAGTCTTCTTCTACCATTGGTTCATTAGCTTGCAGAATTTCAACAAAAGAAACAGAGCTGTGAACGCATTTATCCCTACGGTGGTGTGTGAATATTATTAGAACTGTGTCCTAAGGAGAACTCCACTGAATGATGCATACATTTAAAGTGATTCTAAAGGAAAGATTTTTTTTTAAATAACAAACATGCCATACTTACCTACTCTGTGCAATGGTTTTGCACAGAGCAGCCCCAATCCTCTTTTTGGGTCCCCAACCAGCGGTCCTGGCTCCTCCCACCTGCTGAGTGCCCCCAATACCAAGCCTCTTGCCATGGGGGCACTAGAGCAGGTTCACTCCCGTGCCACGCTCTGTGTGTGTCTATTTAAGGACATTGACCACTAGCCTACAGGGCACTTATACCCCCTTCCTGCTCAGGACAATTTCCAGCTGTCAGCTGGAATGCAACACTGTACCCATAGGAAATTTTTTATAATTTTTTTTGAGACAGATAGAGCTTTCTTTTGGTGGTATTTAATCAACTCTGGGTTTTTTATTTTTTCTTAAACAAACCAAAAACCACTGAAAATTTTGAAAAAAAAAAGTTTTTTCTTAGTTTTTGTTATAATATTTTGTAAATAAGTGATTTTTCTCCTTGACTGATGTGTGCTAATGAGGCTGCAGTGATGGGCACCGATAGGCTGCACTGATGGACACTGATAGGGGGCACTGATGAGGAGGCACTGGTAGGTGGCACTGATGGGCATTGACAGGCATCACTGATGGGTACTGAAAGGCAGCACTCATATATGGCACTGATAGGCGGCACAGACTGGCACTGTTAGGTGGCATTGATTGGCACTGATAGGTGGCACTGATGCGCACTGATAGGCGGCACTGATGCACACTGATAGGCGGCATTGACTGGAACTGATAGGCAGCACTGACTGGTAGCACTGATGGGTGACACTGAAAGGCAGCTCAGATGGGCACTGATATGTGGCATTGATGTGCAATTGTAGGCACTGATATGTGGCATTGATGTGGCACTGATGGGCACTGGCACGTGGGACTGATGACCACTGACAGCTGGCACTGATGGACAGTGACAGGTGGCACTGCTGGGGCTACACTGATCATCAGGGCACACTGATCATCAGTGCTCTGATGATCAGTGTAGGTTTCCCCTCCGCGGAATACTGATTACCGGCTCTCCTCTCAAGCTGTCAGCGTGACAGCTCGAGAGGAGAGAAATGCTGATAACCGGCATTTCCCTGTTTACATGTGATCAGCTGTGATTGGACACAGCTGATCACATGACCGAGCCGACATCTTCGGCTCTTTCCGTGGATCGGTGATCCACTGTGTCCGAGGGACAGAGCGCATTGCCGATTGCCGCGCTGCGTGCTCCCTGAGCCGCGCATTCGCGATGAGAATGGAAGGACGTCATATAACGTCCTCCCAGAACGAGAGAACCAGCTTGCGTCCGTCATTGGACTATATGGCGGGCGGGAGGTGATTAAGGAAAAAAAAACCTTGAGCCTTTAGAATCACTTTAAGCTGACTGTATGACATCACCTAATTGCTTTACAAAAAACAATCCTAACTGTGGAAAAACTCACTTGATAGGGTGCCCGTTGTTGAAAGTGTAAAAGCAAATATGGCAGAGTGACAGACCCAACCAGGACAGGGGCTTTTGGAGGGGACTGCCGGCTAACCTTTTGCCTACTGACCATGGGGCTTGGCATCTGAGGGGGCTCTATTCTATTATTGGGAGGTGTGTGCCTGGGAGGACCTTTGGTGTAGTTTTACTTCAAATTCAAGTCCATGTTTCCTTGAAACACACAGACTCTGAGAACTGGAGGACCAGGATACAGATTTGGGGTCTCCGTGCCCAAACCAGCATTGACTGCTTCAATCCCCCTCCTAGACTCAGAGACTCAGAGAAAACATTAATATAATCAGCTCAAAACAACCTGATGCTGAGGTCTCTTGCTGTAATCTGTTTATTAAGGTGTTATGTGTTGTGTCTTTATCCCATTGTTAAATTAGTTAATTGAGTCACCTATTGTTTCTGTCAGTGGACTAGTCCTCCTGGAGGTTCCTACATGATGGGATTAGACTTGTGTTAACTTTAATTTGTTACCTAATCAGTGCGCGGTGTTTATCCAAATGTGTAATATTTGTTTTTATTTTTCATGTGGGGACTGCCCCTATTTTTGAAATGTATAAAAACCTGTATTTCTGTTCAGTAAAGAGTTCCAGTTGCACCTAAGCTAGTGTCATCTAGTTCTTGAGTGCAATGCCAGGCTACAACACTTTGTTCCTGTGTTCCAGCAGTGAAGAAGCAGTTCTCTGATGGAAGCAACCAGGCAGGGTTCCAGCTGTTCTGTCATAGGGAGTATTAAAAATATATAGATGTTAAAGTGTTATTAGACCCAGGACCCTGCATTCACTATATCTTGTCTCCCACAGTACACAGAACATGGAAATACAATTATTTTAGGAAATATAAACTACTAAATACCTTTTCTCATCAGCAGTATATAGCAGTCTTATGACTTATATCAGTGTCCAGCTGAGCATTGATTAAAGCTTGTAGGAAGAGTTTTCATTCTGCTCTGATTGTCCTATGAGGCTGCATAAGCCCTGACCCTCTGTCTGGACAATGCTGATTGGCCCTATGCTGATCACATGCATCCTCTTGAAGAAAAAAAACCTGTCTAGCAATATACACTAAACTGAGCATGTGCAGAGTGAGTCCTAGAGCTCTGTACTATCAACAGATGGATTGGGGACTGTAGAAGAAGGGGAGGATCATAGAAGACAAGATCAAACAGCCTTTTTACACAATGCGAAGGATTAACCTCTTAGGTTCCACAGTGAGTATAACAAGCATGCTTTACTGCATATACAGACTGATTTACTGTTGTGGGTTTTTAGTAACACTGTAACCTAATAAGCTAAAACTGAATTCTAGGCAGACATAAAATATACAAATGAATGCATCTCTGTATTTAGAGTTTTTACTGCTCTTTCCCCCTTCCACTGACCAATTTCTGCCATATAGAAGGGGTTCCACTGTGTTCACGCGAACAGCAGAAAGAAGATGGCTGAATCAGAGATAAACATTGTGATAGATTATAGGGAGGACCCAAAGCCAGATTTTGATAAATATGCAGCTGAAGAGGGAGATGATAGGTTAGATCAGCACAGGAGTAGGAGGTAAGGAAACTTTCAGGAAATGCTCTTAAAAAATTTCCCTACACTTTAAAAATTAAGGAGCTGGTGTAGGCAGTTGTTCCCCTAGCACAGTGGTTCTCAACCTTTCTAATGCCGTGACCCTTTAATACAGTTCCTCATGTTGTGGTGACCCCCAACCATAAAATTATTTACCCAGTAATTATAATTCATGAAGTGTCGTTTTACCTCCAATACTGCTGCTTTCAACACAGTAGCTGCTTTTAACAGAGTAGCTGCTTTCAACACAGCAGCTGCTTTCTACACAGTAGCTGCTCTTTACACATCGGAAATATGTGTTTTCTGATGGTCTTAGGCGACCCCTGTGAAAGGGTCATTTGGCCCCCAAAGGGGTCGCGACCCACAGGTTGAGAACCACTGCTCTAGCATGTCATAGTGTCAGTGGTGAAGCATAAGTTGACTTGGCTATAGAAATGTAAGCATTGCACTTAGGAGCCAATAATTTAGGACAATATATATCTGCAGTAAAATGTCATTGTATGCAATTTTTTTTGGCACATCACATCTTTGGCATGTTAGTATTACTTCAATAGTTTCACTATGTATGTATTTATTGCGTTGATAATATAGTATGTATTACTATCATGTTGTAAATGTCACCCGAGGTTTAGGACTAGTCTAGTGTAAAGTTTAGGTTTATGGGTTGAGTTAAAGGACACTGTGTGGCTAACATGTTTTTCTGGTGTGATGAAATTATTGGAGACAAATATCTGTATCTGGGCAGCACAGTGACTAAATGGTTAGCACTTCCGCCTGCCAGTACTAGGGTCGTGGTTCGAATCCCAACCACGGCACCACCTGCCTGGAGTTTGCATGTTCTGCCTGTGTGGGTTTCTTCTAGGTACTCCGGTTTCCTCCCACACTGCAAAGACATGCTGGTAGGTTAATTGAATCCTGTCTACATTGGTCCTAGTATGTGTATGTATGAATGTAAGTTAGGGACCTTAGATTGTACACCCCTTGAGGGTTAGGGACTGATGTGAATGTACAATATACATATATATAAAGTGCTGTGTAAATTGACGGCACTATATAAGTACCTGTAATAAACAAATAAATCTCTAGTCTTGTGTTTTAATTAAATAAAAATACACTAATCTTCTGAACACAAACTGTAACATACTGCAATGGTGGGGGCAAACACAAATGTATCATTTGCTCCTCACCCACTTATTTCCTAAAATAACTCCTTATGGGGTTAGCATGAGAGTGATGACAAGAAATTAGCCAAGAAAAGAAATGCCCATTCACACATTTTACTGAAATGTTGTAAAAACACTGTAATCAGTCACGGAGATTTACATTTCTATGAAAAAGATTTTGCTCCATGCCTTTTCCAGACAGTACAGTAAGAAAGACACTGCTAGGTCCTGCTTGTATGCAATGAGAACAGGGACAGGCAAAATGACTTTCGTTCTAGATGGGCGATCTGTTCAAACAGTATATGGGTACCCTTAGCTAGTATCATAAGTAGAGCCCCAGTGAAAACCTTGGACCCAGGTCTCATTACTGCACTCAAATTTTTGCTCATTCTAAACCATCACACTTAGCTTCCTACGTCACTCCCAACAGCTCAGCTGTTGGTAAAAAATGGCATGCTTACTTAAACTGACATACAACTGATGAAAAGTTCTTGTTAATTTGCAGAAACCAGTGAGAACAGATCTTTTACTAATCTGATTTTTTTAGTAGAATAAACTCCGATTGGCTGTTTGGGTTACTGCATTCAAAAAGAGGCCATAAAAGATGTTAAATAAATAATTTTTAAAAATGCATGTGAAAAGGATTGCCTACATTTGACTTTAGCGAACTTGCATTTAATGTATAGTCTGCATGCACATGGATTGGCAGATTATCATATGGGTGATTCTGGTGGCACATGCCTTAACCAGTTGCCAACCAGCCCATGTAGATATACTGTGATATATACGGCGGCTTTTCTGCACCAGATCATGTACATGTACATGATCTGGCATTTCCGATAGGGGGCACGAACATGCACTAGACCATGACTATGGGTTATATGCAGGTTACTCTCAGGCAACTGGAGGGTCACCCAAGTAACTGCTAGGACCACCCCTACAGCACACTTATATAACCCTACCCACTCATTGTTTTTCTAGTGTCCCTAGTGATGGACCTGTTTCCCTCTGGATTTTTCTAACCATTCATTTCTTTTCATTGAAGCTTCTATCAAGATCTGACTGCTTATGTCTACTTAGCCTAACAGGTTCTGGATTGGTTACCCTTGACGTGTACCTAGGGGATGGTACCTGGACCCCACTACATGGGGCCAGTCTGCAATGTTTGCTTCAGGCACTGGATCATTCATTAGCGCTGAGCTTGGCACGTAGTGCAATGTGTTTAGTGTAGTACAGTGCTATACAAGCCCAAGACCAGGGTAAATTTCTATGGTTCCCTCAGCATGAAAACTGCTTAGGGGGTATGCCCACCGTGACAGTCCAAACCAGGACCCTTAGTCGCCACAACATCGTGGTTAAGCTACGATAGGGATTCCCTGTGTATTTACATTGGTTCCTAGCTTGTAATAATACAATCCACAGTGCGTAGCACACTATGTGGTTTTACAGGCAGAGGATTTAGGAGTTAATCCCTTTATTGTGGTAACTCCGGCCACCTGGTCTCAAATGTTTCTTGGCACAAGCAATTTATAATTGGCGACTTCTCTCATCCTATCTAGACTTAGTCTCAGGAGGTAATTGCATCACGCTTCCTAGATGATGCATTCCCACCCACACAGCACTTTGCTGCACTCCTGTTGCCCGAATACCTCATTGAGGATCCCCTCACTTAGCAATGGCAGATAACAGGCACAAGGTAGCTGGAATTAAAGAGCCAA